CGAAAAGCCTGCAGCAGTTAATGAGCTAAAAATGTGTGTCAAATAAAAATATAATCAACATTTTTCCCAGGGCTGCCAGCACCTTAGAACTTTGCAATAAACCAAATATTTTTAAAGCAATGCAACAAATGTAAACTGTAAATTTGCCAGCGGTAGGTGATTGCAGATGCAGTAGATCTGTTTTTATTGTACCGTCCAGGTAATTAACCCTGTATTTCAACAAAATCCCAGTAAGTTGCTGTGTATTGCTGTGAGTTCCAAGCAGCATGAAGATAACTTAGAATTATAGACTCATAAAACGGTTTGGATTGGAAGGGACCTTAAGATCATCCAGTTCCAAACTCCTCCTATGGGCAGGGATGCCTCCTGCTAGACCAGGTTGCTCTAGACACCATTCAACCTGGCCCTGAACGCTGCCAGGGATGGGGCATTTGCCAGTTCTTTGGGGAGCCTCTTCCAGCGCCTCACCACCAGAAAGAGTTCTTCCTTATGTGCAACCTAAATCTCTCCTAAGTTTGAACCCATCATCCCTCGTCCTGTTGCTACAGTTCCTGATGATGAGTCCCTCTCTGACATCCTTGCAGGCCCCCTTCAGACACTGGAAGCTGCTCTGAGGTCTCCAAGAAGCTTCTCCAAACTGAACAGCCCCGACTTTCTTAGCCTGTCAACTTGCAGAATTCAAGCAACATTCATCATTCAGTTTTCTCTCTTTCTGGCCCTTCTTATTTCAGCTAATAAAAAGATGTAGAGCTCTTACTAAGGTCATACTCAACCTTAGCTAAAGACTGGAGCATTAGTGGGCTTAGTTTTAATTAGCTAAGAGTCAGTTTTCCCTGTCCTGGATGCTTTCTCTGAACGTTGGCTGTACTGTGGTTCCCATGCTTTATAGAATACAGCTATCTGGACATCCTGCATGCTGTGCTAGAAGCTATTTGCATAGATTATAAATCCTCAAGAATTTTGCAAACTAAGAGTTTTTGAACTAATATATTACTGTCTAAGGACCTGATCCTCTTATTAGTGCCATAGGGGTGAGTTCTTACACTCAAGTAGATGCAGCTCTATTATTTTAGCTCAAGGGTCCAACTCCACAGATTTTCACTGAATAAATAATGAAGGATACAAGATCACAGCCTCAAGAATCAAAGAAAAGAATTCTTAAATGCAGTGCCTTTGGTTAAACATACCACAATGAAATTGGTATTTTGGACTGAGATCTGATTCTAAACTATTCACCACTCTTACACTGTTTTAATCTGTGGTGTGAGGGAAAAATGGGGCCAACAAGACCAGAATAAATATTTTTCTCAGATCTGCCCCTTATCTGACATTAGAGGGTCCCATAAAGGAATAAAAAAGAGCGCTGAAATACAGTTACAAACTTTAGGGGGTTTATTGCTCTTATCAGGACAGCATATAAGATGCCTGTGTATATGATGTGCTTATGTGGTCTTTGACCACAAAAATTAACATGAGAAAGGAAAGTGTTGACACTTGGTAAAGAAATAGGTTCCTCCCAGCCACCCACCCACAAACCCAGTGTGTGTAGCAATCGTCTCCTAATATGCTTTTTTTTCCCTCCAGATATATGTGAGTGCTCTGATCTTTTATTTGGCTCTTTAATGCATCCCTGCAAATGAAATTACTATTCTGGGATGTTGCTAAAACGCTAAAGTGGTTCTTTTGCATCAAGCACTGGCTGGCTTGAAATTGACTCCATAGGGATTCTTGAAAAGGGAATCCATCCCATCACAAACTGGTTGAGGAAATAGGTTTAGCAAGGGAAGACTGGAAAAAGGAGTTTGACTTTAGGGGGATTGCCTGAAACTCATCTTACAGCTCTAATGTTTCCTTCGCTGAATTCCCCCTCTTGCTTTGGAGTCTAAATTTCCGATACCTAAAATAAGTAGAGACAAACTGATCGACTCTGGGCCATGTGCATATGGTTTGATAAATACCAAAGGGCCTGGAATCTTGCATGGCTGACACTTTGTTTCCAGCTTTGCGGTAAACAGCTGAATAGGAAGGAGAAGGCAGCGAGTCTCAAACTGCACTCGCCAAGAACATCTGCATTTATGAAAACTTTCCCTAATTGAAAATCTAGTAGTTGCAAATGCCATGGACTGAGAGCTTGGAAACTAGCTCAGGGTTGCTAAGATAGGAAGAAGTAGCAGTGGTTTTGAGCCCCCAGTTCAGGTTATTCCCCCACCCTCCTCCTTGTAATTTGGGCATTCAGGAGGCGCTAATAACATCTTCACAAATTCCAACAAGGGAAGAAGTGTCTCTTTAGGCTTCAGACTCCTTATTCTGCAGTTCTTCTCTAACTGCTTTTCCTTGCCATCTCCCCTGCCCCCATTTCTCCTCCTCCTCAATGTTTCCTCCTGGTTCTTTGAGATCTACTACACCAAAAATATTTTTGGAAATACCACAGACTATTGTTTTTATTAGTGACTGGAAAGCTTTGTAGTAGGATGCTTTTGTGTTTCATTTGTTTTCCTTGCTCTGGCACAGCTGTTTCTGTTTTAGCAGCATTAGAGAGATGGTTAAACTATTTGTGGCCTTTTCTAACCCAGCAGATCTCTTCCACTGAATGCTTTAAACTGAATGACTGAAACTGTAACTAACAGGTTGTCTGCGTGGGCAGTTCTGTGCATAAAGTTACAAACGCACTGGTTTTATGAGATCTTTTAATTTGTTCAGCAAAACACTGATCACTGTGAAGCAAGTCCCAGTTTCCCTATAAATTTCCCAGCCAGAACACTGACAGAACCTTGACTCGGGAAGATACAGAACAGATGAAGCAGTAGATCTTGTTCAAACCTATGCACGCTCAGAAATGATTCATGGAAAAGGGGTTTATGCTATGTGGTGATCCTCACCTTAGCCAAGAGGGAATAGGAAGAAATGTGCCACAGCAGGCGGTGGGGCAGAATGTGGTCTGAGGACAAATCTGCCAAAGGGGGTATGTAGCAGCTCTAAATGCCTGACTGGCTACTTGTGGTTACAAGGAGGAAGATGGGAAATTAGGAAACAGGAATTCAGTTGGACAAGGGTGACAGCAGAAAATAGTAAATGAAGAATGAAGCAAACAAAAAATAAAGTAAAATGATAAAGTAAATAGAGAGTGAAAGCATAATGCATCTGCAGAAAGGCACCTTAAAAGCAAAGGGAAAAAGAGGAAATGAGTTGTACTGGAGGCTTCAGTGTTCATGTCTGGTGACATAATGTAAGTGATATTGTAAGTATGGGCTAATGAACGGCAGGAAAATGAAAGTTAAGAGTGTAAGTGAGATGTGTCTCGCTAAATCCCAGTCTTACCACATGATCCCACCACCTCTGCTGGGCAGGCTCAAGCAGCCACACAGCGATTAGGTTTAGAGAACCAGTCTGTTTGACACTGGTTTGGCAGGTTTCTTTCTGGTGAGGTCAGGCAGATGACAGACCTGGTGTGATGCATCGTGTGGCTGTGTGAACTTAGGACTGGTCCCAGGGAGGCACCTGGGTACAGGGTAGGTAGGGCTTACTCTCACTTGTCTGTATGGACAGGCGAGGGTCGGAACAGTAGGTGACACGGTGCATGGGTAGCTGCAGATCCAACCTTGCATGAGGGCGGACCAGCACATGGGTAGCTCGAAATCGCTCAGGAGATCACAGTCCTGGTTGAACACTTCCTGATTGCCTAAGCACCCTTTTTTCCAACCAGATTTGCATATCCCACTTGCCCTTTGTCATCGTGCTTGTAGTAAGCGTGGTTAAAGCCCTTCCCAAATCTTCGCTCCCGAAGCCAAGCCATCAATCAATCAAGGTGACACCATCCCCATCAACACCTTACAGGATTGGAAGAGCAGTACATATATCAGCTCACTGATGAAATATAATGCAGGTAGAGTGGAGAAAGGACACACTATGTCTCCTACCTACAGTAATGTTGAGTGTGGCTCTTCCCTTTTTGTGTGCAATGGGTGGGGAAGAAACTGCTCTCATCAGAAACCACCTCCTTAATAATACTGCAATAGAAAAGGCTGAGATGACTTTTCAAGCACATTTTTTCAGTGCTGTTTTTGTGGTTTTCCTGTGTTAACAAATGTTTGTTTTCAACTCTCCTGTCAGTTTTGCTGTGGGACACATCAGTAGATTCATAACTGAATGAAGCCAGGGACAAAACTTGCATCTGAAAGTCCCGAATGACTGAAGTCTGTTGTCAGATGATGATATTGGGGTAATAATAGCGAGAAAAGAGGACAGGGAATCTAAGCAGAACTCAGCAAGGGATTACATATCAAGATGCATATTACAGTAACTGGAGTTACACTGAATGCTGCTAACAAACTGCGGAAGATCAGACCTTGTGTAATAACAGTTTATCACATGTATTCCTCTGTCTAAAAAATTGCAACAAAAGCATCAGTTTGAGCTACCCCATAATGTTTAATGTTTTCTACTATAAACTTAATTACAGTCACAGAATAATAATAATAAAAACAAACAACAAAAGAAAACAAACGTATTCATAGAACTAGCTACGAAACGAGAGTATAAGATATATCGTTAATGAGAAACATAAGGCATACTGACATCTGTATCATCTGTAGACATTGGTTATTTCCCTTTATAGTGAACTGTATTGAGAAAGAACATATTCTATTTACATTCCTGTATCTATACAGACATACAACTACTTCTCAATAGCTGTGTGTTGTTCAGTAGGCTTTATTCAGCCCAATTCAGTAAAGGGAATTGTTTACCTATCATGGAATCATAGACAAAACAGTGAGAAGGTTCCTCACAAGCACAGGTATATCCATCCTCTCTCCTACAATGCCATAATAATCAATGTAGTTGAATTCAGCTCATTTCATGTTTTTCTTCCGAATCAAATAGCAACACCGACATTTTACCCAAACTTTTTTGACCTGTTACCCACAGCACTATTTCTTGCCTGTTCCTAGACTCCAGTTATGATCCCTGCTCTGACTGTTCTCCTGACTGACTCATTTCAGGGCTCCAAAGAGTACGCCAGCTGGGGAAAAACACAAGATACTTCAGGCGAAGACTGCATGAAATGGGCTTCATCATTTATGGCAATGATGATTCACCTGTTGTCCCCTTACTCCTTTATATACCTGGTAAGATAGGGTAAGTACTGAAAAAAAACCCTGTTGGCAAACTGAACCTCATTCAAGTTCATTCAGGCTGTTTGGTATCCATTAAGAAAAAATATAGTTATGTGCAGTAGATTTCTTCACAGGAGAAACACACATTGTTAGGTGAATTCATTGTTTAGTTATGTTCCCTTTTAAATTTGGCCCTAGACCTAATTTTGAGCTGTTACAGTATTTAGATGTTTTTAAAATTTCTCTTATCCTTTCTTAACTTTTGATGGCACTTTGAATTTGGATTTTTTTAAACTTTATTATCATTAAAAGAGATACATTTCCTTCCTTTGGTGTCTGAATTGGTTTGGATGGATGTTCTTTTTCTCCCATCTGATCATTGAACAGTCTTTGCATGTTTTACCATTCAGTACCTATCAAGCAGCACTCGTGTACTGACTTGGACACACGTACCTGAAGTCAGCAGTAGTTTAATGTAATGGTTGAGATGTAAGGAGTATTTGCAAGTAGCTTAGGGTGGCTATGTGCTGTAGGTCTACTAAGTACCACACAAAAGGTTCCTATATTGGCAGAGTAACTTGAGAGCAAGGAAACCATCACAGAAATTGTTTTATTCCTTTTGACATGCAGGAACCCACTTCTCATACCTTTCAGAAGTCAGGCCTCTTCTGTACTTAGAGACTATGAATGCCCACACTCTGATTTGCACTCAAAGCCTTTCATTAAGTGTCTATTCTACAGTGCCTTCTCTCTACCATCACACTTCTAGTATTTGACACCCACTTGTCTTCATGAGCTGTTAAGCAGCAAAGAATCTCAGTCCTACTGGTAAAATTCTGGCTCTTGTTGAATTCAATGGGAATATTACCACCCACTTCAGTTGAAGAGAGGATTTTACCCATTGTTTTATTCTACTTGAATGTTTTCTCTCTGTGGTCAGTTTATTGGAGATAATTTACTTTTATTCTTTTCTTCTTTTTCTCTCCTTAGGGCTTTTGCAAGACGCATGTTAGAAAAAAACATCGGGGTGGTTGTGGTTGGGTTTCCAGCTACTCCTATCACAGAATCCCGGGCTCGGTTTTGTGTGTCCGCTGCACATACACGGGAGATGTTAGATACGGTAAGCACAGCAGATGGCCTGCTGAAATTAGCTTCAGATGCAAAGGAGGTTGGGAGAAGCTGTGTGTCTGTTACCTCCAATCTCAGTAATACAGTTTTACATTTGTTTTCCTGGCCCTGTCACTTGATCTTTAAAGGCATTTTAGCCTTCTATATTCTGTTTTTAAAAATAAATTATGGGACAGTTAACTTGTTATGTTCTTCTGTCTCTAATAGCGACCAAATCTGTCATCACTAATAAAGACCTACATGAAGAGCACAGCAAGACAAAAGTTAAACGCTAGGTCAAAACTCTCAGAGTAGGAAACCTGAAACGATGTGGAAATAATTGAAAATCGGGTTTTCCATACTCTTATTTTCATTCGGTATTTCCACGTGCTTCTTGAATTGCAGAAGTACATGGGACAGCCTTGGGGGTACAGGTGGAAATGGCAAAGAGTATTTGGAACTGTTTGAACCTAATGAAATTTAATTGGTGCTGTCTGGCCTGTCTCAGTTCTGTATCTTTCACTGATAGCAGACATACCGTTAAGAGTATGTTGAGATTTCCACCATAAACCTTCATTCCAACGCAGTCAGAAATGTGTTTAAAATAAACTCTTTGAAATTTTCCATCTCCCTTTCTTGCCGAAGGTGTTTTTGGCCTGGCTTGATATACGTTCTTTCATTCTCAGCATAAGCCAATCTAAAGGCATGAAACACAGAGGCTTAACAGTAAATTTCAGGCTTTTTCCTCTCTTTGCACAAGTATGATGGTCAAAGCAAAAACGCTGTGAACACAGAAGGCATTTAAGATGCCACCCCTTCATCCAGACAAGCACCTGTGCCTGCAGAGAGCCCTTGCCTCTCCATTTGCCTCCTGAGATTCATGTGGAGCTGGAGGCTGGAGCTCAGCCCAGCTGACCAGCTCCCACACCAGTGCAGACCTCTCTCAAACACCACCAAAAAATCTGCCTTGCATGTGTGCGGTAAAATTCCTGCTGCTCTTAAAGGTGCAGTACTTAACTAGCAAGGTAAAATGCCATAAAGAGAATATTGCATAGAACAGGGCATAGCTACCTCCTTGTGTTTGTCGTTGTCAGCTTTTGCTGTTGACTGTGTAGATTTTGGCTTATGTAAGTTTTAATAGGTGATGAATTTGATCTGAAAATTAATCTCTTGATTTGCTGCTTTGATTTTCTTCCTTCCCCCTGTGCCCCAAATGTCAAGTCCACTACATTTTTGAGCCATCATTGCATGTTCACTTCCTGCTACCTGCACATTGCTGCTTCCTAGTGCTAGTGAAGGCCTGACCCACTCCCCACCCATCATTCTTGAACATGCAGTATTTTTGCCTTCGAAAGCGGGATCATTGCTGTAGTACTTGTGGCATTCTTGAAATGTCCTTACAGCATGGAGGAATGGAAATGCCCTGAGTTTAATTGCTTGCAGATGGAAAAGGTTTTAGGACAAACACTTTGTGAATATGCCCAAACCCAGGGTAACAACAGGTAACAAGCACAATGAAAACTTTTCCCTTTGGCAAAATTTGTTTTGAATCTCAGCCTGGAACTAAAAAGAGGAAAGATCCCTAAAAGGGCAAGTTCCTAAGAATAACTTCCTTAATGACCTTGAAGCTATCTCTCTGCGTAAACCATTACTAAATTACATCTTTTTGTTCTTGAGCTCATTTTAGTGGCTTCACAGAAACAGGCTCAAAATCAAAATTGCTGTTTTCTTCTTTGATGGCAAAAGGTTGGCTGCTCTTGAATGTGGATCAGATGCTGCAAAACACTGAGCTACTTCTTTGTGGCATAGAGTTCCCTGGCTACTTTTTGAATCTACTGAGAACTGGGAGCACAGCTAGTGAATTGCATTACAACATTGATGCATGATTAATTATGCCTGTGATATTAATACAAGTAGAAAATGGAATGCACTAAAACCATCTTAAACTATTCAGACTATTTATGAGGAGTCTGATCAGCACTGTGGGCTGAGTGCCATCTAAGAAAATGCAGTGGCAACTCCAGTCTTTGAGATCCATAGGGGAATACTGAAGTATTACCTTACACATTCCTTTCGCACAAGCAAAGATAACTTTTTATCTGGATTATTATCTCCCTGTGCTTTAGAAAAACAGCATTGTTTTTCATCTGTGCTTAATTAATGCACTTACTAATAGACCATAACCTACTGAAGGAGTAAATTCTGTTCTTATAGATGCTATTGTACATCCATGACTGCATTGACATTCACTACAGAAGAATGGAAACAACATTTGCCCTCAAAACTTTCTTTAATTGATGCTTTTATAATCTTCCTGTTCTGCTGTAAAGTAGAGGTTACTAGAACTTCATTTCTTTTCCGAGAGAATTGACACAATATAATGGTCTTACAGGTTTTGAATGCTCTGGATGAATTGGGAGATTTTCTACAACTGAAATATTCACGGTATTCCAAGGCATCTCATCCTGAACTGTATGAAGAAACTAGGCTTGAACTTGAAGATTAAGTTTTCCGCCCATGAAGAGAACATTATGATGTTATGAAAGGGAGGAAAACCCGAAAACTAAGAAATACGAATGCATTTCTCCCCTTCTAAGGACAATTTTTGTTTCTCAGTTAATTGAAAGGAGGGGAAGCTCGGGTGTTGCATCTTATTGTATCAAAGTTCTGCATCCAAGAGACTGAAATATTGATTCAGATTTGCCTCCCCAGGAGATCTGTCCTTCTTACGGTATTTTTGATGCAGAATGAATGCATCCATTGATCGAGTTGCTAACGTACAGCTTTTGTTATATGGCCCCTTTTTATGAAGAGGCTGAGGTAGTCTTAATTGTGACTGAAATAATAAAGTTCAAAACCTGAATGGATTCCAATGTTGTATGGTAATGTAGCTGAGCTTCACCAGTGAGATTGACTTATCTCTTAAAGAGGATAAATCAAGACATCGGTGTGGACCGCTGCAGAGGAATGAACAGAAAGTCACCTTTTTAAGTCTCCCTACCACGCATTTCTACAAGGACAGAAAACGTTAGAAAAAGGCTAATGCTGAGAACAAGAAAAGTAGCCTGATCAGATCATGCATTTCTGACAGCGGATTATGGGAAAGGGAAAATGCCTCCTCCCCTCCACAGACCACTTAAACACTCTGTAAGCTTCATAATGTACAAAAACTTGAGCTTGGACATAAACAGAAATGCTTTCCTGCTAACACGTTTGACCTACAGCCTATCACATCTTATCATAACCCAAGTTTTTCAGCAGGCTTGCTCCCTTTTCGTGTGGCAGCAGTAAATAATTTTAATAACCATTTAACTTTCCCGTAAAAGCCTTGATCAAAACAGTCAGATACTTGCAGTTCACAAACTGCAGATGACATTTATGGGCCCATTCCTGCGTTTCTTGAACTACTTATGGGCTTAATAAATTCACTAACAAGTACATAATGCTGTTAGTTATACAGAATGTGAAGTTTGAGATACCGTGAGCAGTCCTGCCACCTGTAAAACTGAAATCTCTGCCGTTCGAAAATGTGCTGAAGTCACTCATTTAATACCATTTCTTGAAATAGATTGCGCCTGTCGGGTTGTTTTACTTGCAGACTTTTCTGAGTGGTTTGTTTTTCAAATAACTGATTATAGAAGATGTCCTTGTCCCCTTTCCCACTGCCTGAGTGCCAAAAGCTCAAAGATACTTGAAGGAGTTGTTACAACCAGCATTTTCCCTGCAATGCCTGCAGCAGCGTTGTCGCCAGCCTTATGTTAGCTGAGTTGCTTGAAGGAGATCGGAGGCTTTTTCCCTTTTTTGCAGCGTTGAAAAGTGGTTCTGCAGCTTTAAGAATGAACTCCAAACAATTCCACGCTATCAAATGTCATTGTAAACACATCAGATGAGAGATGTTTAGCTTTCTGTTGCACAGATGTACCACACTTTCATGTTCTCTTGAAAGCTGTGGTGTAAACTTAACCCACAGCTGCAATATTAGATTTAAGAACAGAACAATTAAATTGTGGAGTACCAATTACACTATATTACTCCCTGCTTGTTAAAGCAGCTTTCAGGATATAACAAGGCTGATTGGTTACGAGGGCCCATTTTTCTGTTGGATTTTTTGTTGTTGTTGTTGTGCAAGTTAATAAAAATCCAGTGGTGCTATAACTTTAAGAATTGATTACAACACATTCCATAATATCAAATGTCGGCTTTAGGAAACATATATCAAGGGCTGGGGGAGGACTAAATGGTGTCATACGATTCTTCACTTTGGTAGACGGACTTGAAAAACACTGCAGAGGTTCAAGGGAGCTGTCGATAAGAACAAACTCACCGTATAAATGTTAAAATAAGCACAGGACAAGGAGAAAATAGGAGATGTGAACTTTGTCTCGGAGTAACGCGGCAATTTGCGATGTACAGCTTTGCTACATAGGGGACGAGTGCACTTACTGTGAAGGAGAGGGGCTGAGCAACTTCTGCAACCTGTTCCTCGAGGAAAAGTACTGCATTTGATAGATTGTGTTTTGATCTCTGTTGCCGAACATCTGCGACCAGATCCTCAGTTGACTTCTGACCTTTCATCTTGGGGTATACGGCCATAGTTTATATTTCAGCAAACATTATTACACGTGCTGTTGCAAGCAACACGCTATTTCCCTCAAAGAGAGGCCTGAGATTGATTAAACTACTGAGTGATCATTTTTTGTCCCCCTATAGGGGAATGTTTTCAGTCTAAAGCCGAATTCTTCCTGCCCTCAGAACATTACTCTCTCTCATATTAAGGAGACAGGACAGCTATTTTTCAGAGACTGCCAGTTGATTTATTATGTGCTCTCTTCTGATTTCTTCCATCCCTTACACATTAGAGAAAGTACAGGCTGACTACCCCTGGGCTTGGGGAGCAGTTAGGGAGAAACCCCTGCTCCGCTGGTGCAATAATAAAGCTCCCAGGAACTATAGACTTTTAGAATTTCCCCATGAGGCTTATTTATGGTCTGGCACTGGCCTTTCCACCAGCGTAATTTCAGTGGAATTCTTTCAGATTCACATCCATTATAATAGATTTAGAGTTGATCAGCACTTGGAGACTCTGTTTCAGCGAGCTTAAATAAAAAACCCAATGGAGTACTTAGTAGGGAATTAGCGCATCTACCATAAGGATCACATATTTCCTAGAATGTACTCCATCTTCAGGCGTGTATGTTCTCAGGAGATGTAGTTCTTTGTAATTGTTTTAGAAGGTTTTGAAGAACTGCCTTCAATAAATAAAAACTGCTGAAGTTGTCATATTTCAATGCAGTGGAAATGTAAGTATAATTACACCAACTTTTTGTTGGCAAGCTGCAGTTCCAGCAACTTGTTATCTTACATAAAATCTCAACTGACCTTCACGCTGTGGGATGACTCAAGATTTGTCTGACAGAGTATCTGAATTGTTTGCCCCTTCCTGTACCTTTATCCCACCTCATCTTTTAGAAAGCCTTCATTTTCTGACCTTATTGAACTTGTCAAGGTGGTTCCCCATCCAATTCTCCTGCCTCTTTAGATTATTTTCTCTGTTCTGGTAGTTTCTGTCATAGAATCATAGAACCATTCTGTCCTCTGGGTGTAGGGGAAAACATGCTGGCAGCTGCAGGGGATCTGAAATTAACAGTTGGCTTTGTAGGCATTGCCTGGCTCTGCCTGCTTTTCCTGGTATCCTCATCAGCACACTTTAATCTTCCCTTCCCAAATAAAAATTCCCTCTGATGGTGCTAAATTTCTAAGCTGAACCGAATCTGAACTGCCAAAGCTGCTGAACCAAGAATGGGCTTGATCTGTCACTCATGCAAGTGTAGATCAGGTTAAAGCTTGCTTTGAAGTCAATACTGTTGGTTTAAAACTAATGCAGCCATGAGAGCAACCTGTCAGCATGAGGTGAGCTGCCTGCATTTGTTTCAGAGGGGTTTGAACACTGATGCCTCTGGACTGTTTCACAGCCGCTGCTCTTCACAGGGGACCAAGATGTGGGAGTGGATTTATTTAAGGTAGGATTTCACTGTTCTTTTTCTTTTCCTTTCCTCCTTCTTTTCTTTTTTTCTTTTGTTTTTATCCCCAAAATGTGTTTGATTGAAGGTGTTTTCCTGTTCTGCTGAGACAGGGAACAAAATAATGACGTAAGAAAAGCAATCTACACTAAAGGCGTTTATGCACTTTCAGGACTGCTTAGAAATCCAACAGAGATTCTCTAATATATGATCTGATTTTTATTTGTGCATAAAGTTTAATTGTTCTTCAAATTAAAACACAGCTCAGGACCAAATTTTAAAGAAACCACACCACCAGCTGAGAAATGACAGACGTGATTCCGCTATTGGCAGCTGAACATTCAGGCTTCCAGATGCCTTCAAAATAAGCATATAGGTGTTTCCCTCATTTACTCACATCCAGTGCTGTTTGTGCTCACTGCAGACCAGTCACAGAATCACAGAATCCCAGACTGGTTTGGGTTGGAAGGGACCTTAAAGCTCATCCAGTTCCAACCCCCTGCCATGGGCAGGGACACCTTCCACTAGAGCAGGTTGCTCCAAGCCCCGTCCAACCTGGCCTGGAACCCTGCCATGGATGGGGCAGGCACAGCTTCTCTGGGCACCCTGGGCCAGTGCCTCAGCACCCTCATAGTGAAGAATTTCTTCCTAATGTCTAATCTAAATCTACCCTCTTTTCATCTTAAACCCATTCCCCCTTGTCCTATCACTACATGCCCTTGTAAAAAGAGCTAATGAAAATCTCACTCTATCCATTAGTGAGACAGATCTTCAGACCACTCAGGATGCTCCCAAAATCACCATACAAGTGCCCACACAGAGCAACAATTCAGCACCATCAGAACATGAGTCTGGCGTCTGAATCACAGCGGTCGCTCAGCAGTTACTTAGGAGGTAAGTGTGTTTCTTTTCACGTATGTAGTATGTCACTGACAAGTGGCATCAGGGAGAGATGGTAAAGCCATTTATATCATATGCTAACCAAATGGAAAGGGTAATGTAAACACACAGGATCTGGAGAGACGTGGTGGATCTGGAGATTTAGACTAGATCCGTTGTGTGCAAAGAATTATTTTGTGCAGGTGTTACAGGAGTTGCTAAATTCTGTTAACCAGCCAGGTGGAAAACTTGGTCTTTAATATCAAGATAGTGACTATGAAGCAGGCAGAGAGAGATACCACGCTCTCTGCTTTACTTCAGTTTGTTCATGAAGAGAAGGCAGGGTACATAGGGTGCCAGAGCAGATGTCCCTGACATTTGGTACTCTATTATGTTTCATAGACCCTTTTTAAAGTCTCTTTTGCCAAGGTCAGCAAGTGTTAATTGTTATCAATACACCTGGATCCAACAGCTTGTGCTGCAGGGGTAACCAGTTCGCAGTAATGCTTGAGCTGCCATCTACAGAGGACAGTGTTAATGATGAAAATTGTTCAGAGATCATCCTGGTGATAGCCATGCACAGCATCACTGATGATTGTGATGGTCTCGCTGAGCATCATTGCTGGGATGCCACCACTGCGAGTGGCTGTGGTATGGTGATAGCTGCCTGTGCTGCTCTCTCTAGGTGTAACTGATGTAGCTCCAGGATAGGCATGACAGTCTGCTCTCTTCTTTGCAGATACAGAAGGGCATGGCCTGTAGGGCACTCCAGCAGATGAGTTTCTTTCTGGCAAATCAGCTCAACCAGATGTAGCCATGAAAGGAGCACACTGTAGGAAGTCTAGAAAATGAGTTCTCACAAGTTAAGTCAAATATTTGCTGCAACAGATAGAGAAATGTTGGTATGTGTGATGTGGAACAGTGGTGCCAGATGACATGAATGAAGCTTGTTTTTCTATCGCCTCCGC